ATGGAGGCAGCAGTGGTAGCATGGTGATGGACTAGGAAACCCCTTTTCCCTGGTGTACCCAAAGAATAACAGGAGGTCCCAGCCTGCCTCAAAACAAGAATCAGTGTAGGGTTAGGGAAGAGGAAGCCCCCAGCCCAGAGGAAGAGGATTAGCAGCAGCAGGACAGTGCAGATTGTGAGCCCATTGCTTCTAATCTCCTCTTGCCTAGTGACCCAAGCAGAGAAGTGGCAGCATCCCCTACTCGCCAGGACAGGGTGGTGGATGAATTTCCATTGTGGAGAGAGGTGGCCCCACATGACAAGACTGTCCAGGCTAATCCTGCACTCCTGAAAGTTCCACAGAACTGAAGGGAATTTTTCCAGGGCCAAGCATCCTTCTGGCCCTGCAGTTAAAAAGCCCTGCAGGCTTCCCAGATCTGGTGTGTTCCAGTATCCACGGCTCTTGAGGCCTGCAGGGTATATATACCCTGTAGAGCCAGAGAGCAGCCGGACAAACACTCCTGCACAGTTCACAAACTCTCTACGAGCAGAGGGGTATGTAGAGTTTAGTAAATGGCAGAAACTTCAAGGAAACTTCCATACGCCCAGGCAGCACATCCTTGTCTGTTCAGAGGTGGAGCTGCCTGGGAAGGACTCCCTGGCTCATTACTACTGTGTGTACCCACACACATAATTATTTGCACTTTCATGAGAATATAGAGGGCAATACTGTTCTGTTTTCCCATAAAATAATTTTTTCAGAGGCTAGTGGCAGGAGAAGTTGAACAACTTCACCTCAGATTGGGGAATCCAATGCCACAAATCAGGCTCTTCCTCCCTCCCTCCCCTGGGAGGGCACACCACCACTGGTGCAGGAAAAAGCACATCATATCCTGCTGAACTGAATGTTGAAGGATGACTGGCGTGTTTAGGGCAGCCTGCTCCAGACAGGGGAGTCAGTCAGTCTAGCTGTACAGAAAGGAGCAAATAGCCCATTCGCCAGGCTGGAGAAACGTCACGCAGAAAGTGGTGAGGATATGTTTTTGATATGTTTAGTCTGTGGAAGCAGTGGGGAATCCAAGAAGTGATACAGGGAAGACAGAAAGATGTGGCAGGGAGTAAGAGACTGAATGAGATGCACACTGTCCGCACATAAATAATAACAGATTCTACACTCCTTAATAGGGAGGTGAGACTAGAGACCCATGGGAGAGGAAGAGGGAAGTCATCAGGAGCACAAGTGAAGAGGGAAAAAAGACATGGGCCCAGGGCAGACAGCAGATGGAACCCCAACCGGGATAGGGGGATGGAGAAAGAGGAGAATCCACCAAAAGCAACTGGGAAAGAGCACCTGGGAAGGTAAGAGAAGAGCCAGGAAATATACAAATCAGAGAAGCCCCAGGAAGAGACCAAGTGGATGGTCTACATGGTCAAAAGTAGCAGAAAAGTGGAGGAATACAATGATGGAGGAGTGGCTTCTAGACATGGCAAAGAGGAGGAGAGTACATCAATCACAACACCTGAAATTCTGTTTCTTATCGGATCTGAGTTTGTGTTGAGCACCCTACAAAACCTTTATTCTTTTAGCTGACCAGATTAGCGCAAACATTTCAAAGCTATATGTCCCCCCATTAGAATGTAGGTATATTCCAGCTGTGAAAACATGCTCTCATCCCATGTCCACATTAGACAAGTAACAGTAGACACCATTTGCTGAGTTCCCAAGGCAGGAACAAAAATGGTGTCATGAGAGGCATTGACACATCAGTCATTCGCTCCAGCTGCCTTCAGCATGCACCATTCCCTTAGATCACCACCAAGATTCATTTCCCCCTGTTCACAAAACAAGGAAAGAAATAGTTGTGAATGTGTATGTGGTATGTGTGTGTGGGAGCAATACATATGTGGTGCATATTCAGTGTGTGTGCGCATTATGATCTCGGCAATATGCACATATAGGCACTGTGTGGTGTGTACATGTAAGTGCAATGTTCATGCCGTATGTGTGGTATGTGTGCAGCATGCATATGTATGTGCAGCATTTGTGTATAGAGTGTGCATTCTGTGCACTAATGTAAAACCAAGTAAAGGGTTTGAAATACATCCTTATAATTAGGGGAAATGGATTATTGCAGGGAAAAAACATACATTATTAATACATTGCTAAAATTACTGACATTTAACTTAAATAAAAATATGGAATTGCATTCCTATTCAGATTAGACACAGGTAGCGCAGGTTTAGTTAATGTGCTGGGCATTTCACAGACAGAAGATGTGCCACATGGTTCTGTGGTTGTTATGGTAATTGTCTTTTTCTTCTTTTTAAGCAGCACATAAAATAGTCACATAAAATCTGCATAAATGTCAAAGGAAAAAGTTATGTCTCTCCACTATATAGAACCCTGAGCTTATTTTTGACAAATTTCAGGGTTTTTTCCCTTTATTGGTAATTTAAGTTTTTTGCTGTAACTCACGTTGAGTTTTGTCTCTTTCCTTTTTGAGAGGAGCAGAGGAAAGATGGGCAGATAATGAGGAGGGTCGTGCTTTGATAAACTTTTGAAGTGTGGCTTGAAGGTTGCCATATTTCCTGTGATATGATGCATCACTTTCTCAAGAATCAGTCTTTGCTATGTACTTGCAGAGTTAAACATCGATCATTTTGCTATTACTAAGATAAAGACCACTTATGTTTTTGTAAAATCTACCAAATACATTTTCACTCAGTCTCTTTGACCGTAAGCTAGGGGTATTTGAAAATTTAAGATAAAGCACCAGCTACGAAGTCTACACCTCACATTTTTTAAAATGTTAATAACCTACAGCTAAGGAATATGTGCAACTAGTATAGCCATTAGAGAGGCACACAAAATGGAGAGAGAGCATATCCTCGAAGCTAAGCTAGCATTCAATGCTAAGGGAGAGTTAACATTTGGATCTTAACCAATCAGAATTACAGCTGAGGAGCATTCCTATGGAACGACAGGCCCCAAATAGAAAGGAGGCATCTTAAGAGCTGAGATTCGGGGTGAAGAATTAAGATACGTATACTCTCCCCATACCGTTCTGGCAGCAATATATTAGCCATTTGTCACTTCAACTTCACAATTATAAATCAGTTCTCTACCCATAACTCAGGCAGAATACGCTTGAGACATGTCATCCTTTATAAATTACTGTATGCCTTCTGGTGTAAGAAGAACTTAGCTGGGTCTTATCATAACAGTGCTAACAACGACAGGCATGCAATTGGGAATAAATGGTTCTGCCTTGTGGAGAGACCACACACAATAATGATGAGACAGTCCAGTATGAATGAAAGCCTATAAGCAAGGGGCCAATGAGAGGTGAATCTTGGAAACTGTAGGGAAACCTCAACTTGCTCTTTTTTATAGGCCAGAGAATCTCCTCTCTCCCTCTCTCTCCGTTTCTCCCATAGATCAATGTCACCTATTAGAGATCCTTCAAAACGGCTTTTGACAAAACAAGAAGAAAAGGTCAGAGCAATTAATATTCCCCTCAATATGATTTCATTTGAAGTTGTGAATTTCTAGAGATTCCATGATTAATTACTTTAACTGAAAATTCTCTAGGATAAACTCCTGGCTGAGGCCAAACAAAATACACCTCTACCTCGATAGAACGCTGTCCTCGGGAGCCAAAAAATCTTACCGCATTATAGGTGAAACCGCGTTAAATCGAACTTGCTTTGATCCGCCGGAGTGCACAGCCCCGCCCCCCCGGAGCACTGCTTTACCGCGTTATATCCGAATTCGTGTTATATTGGGTCGCGTTATATCAGGGTAGAGGTGTACATACAGTATAGACATCCAACAGAAGGCTTTTCAGGCCCACGGAGGCATTGCATACACTTCGGGGTTTACTAAAGACAAGAATAGTTCTGCTCATCAGAAAACCAGATGAGAAGATCATTATTTTTCCCCAAACACATTTTGTTCTTGGCGCAATTTCAGTTTTGTTATAAATTACTATAGTGATTAATAATAGTTCATTTGCATTTCTAGAGCACCTTTCATCTGAGGATCTCTGAGCTCTGCAAACAAATAATTCATCCTCACTACACTCTGTTGAAGAACATTAGGTCAGTGTTGTTACCCCCGTTTGTCAGATGGGGAAACTGAGGCAGGGGGAGGTTAAGTGACTTGCCCGAACAGACAAAGTGAATATCGGTTGCAGAATCAGAAGTCAAACCCCAAAGTTCTATTGGTCCAGTTCCCTGCTCTTGAGTATACTCCCTCACATTTGATTTTAAAATTAAACTTGGCATTTTGCTAAAATTTAATGGTGTTAATTTGAAAGTACTTCTCTATAGTGAATTTTAGCACCACCAGAAGTTTTTTGTATTGACATATGGTGCATTTAAGGGTTGGCTCTGCACCTGCCTCCACCTTTAGGTTCAGCAGATTCCATCATTACAACTTGGGAAAATCTTGATCTAAAGATTTATCATCATCATTGTACTCTTTCATCACATCCATGGCATCAGAGGTACAAGCCATCCCAAGGCTATTATATGGTAAACTGTCTTTCTAGGCATCCTCTATGTAGACCCATAAGTGTAGTGTTCATAATGAAACCTCACTTTCTCATTAACAATGGGGGGGTGCAAATTGTTTTCACCACTATTTAAACACATTCGAGTAGATACATATGGCCAAATTCTGCTCTTCATGTAGCCAGGCTAAAATCAACAGAGCCTGAGGACAGATCCCATGCTTTGAAGGGGTAACCTTTATTTTCCCTTCTCTTCTCTCACGTATCCATTGTCACGTTACTGGTGATAGAGGTTTCTAAAAGGGTAAGAATAAAGATCATCCTAAGTAATATATCTGTATGTACGCACTAATCTCTGCTCTCAGTTACACTAACTATCCCATTGATTCATGTACACCAGTAGAACTGGCACAAAACCTGGTTCTATCTCACTAATGACTTCTGCAACACAGTGCAGTATAAAATACATCTGTAATGCAACAATAGATTGTAAGGTACAGATACATACCAAGATGTCGAGGCAGGCTGCTTTAAGCAGGGTGATCTGGTCTGCAATGGTCAAACTTGTAAAGCCAGGCAATCGTTTTGCAAATTCCACTATTTTAATAATGCACTTTGTAGCAAGTTCACTGAATTTGTCCCAAAGCCCAAGGTCCAGTCGAACCCGTTGGTCTGCGCTAGAGTTCTGGAAAGAAGAGAAGACATCATAAATCAGCAATCTCCTGTTCAGTGAAGTGACTGATTTGCTAGTAAAATAATAACTCAGTATTTCTGCTAGAAGTGCTTTCTATTAGCATTCCAGGCATTTTCTGCAAAGTTTGCTGTTGTGATGCTGCTGTTTTTAAACTTGGATTAGTCTCCTAAAAATTCTTTGAATGTTTCTGTTACTTATGATTACAGAGGCCATCTGTACGCAGAATACAAATGAACTTAAACATTTCCAAATGCCACTATCATCATTCTTCCCTGTCATTATATAATGAGTGCATTGAGACAGACAATTTACATTTGAACCCCTGAAAATAAAATGAACAGTGGATCTTGAATATTGGCTCCTCATCTGGAAAAAGCAGCAAAACATTTTGGAACAGAGTTTCACATACTTAAGGTCTTAGAAAATTGGTTCTACTTAATTTATCTCTCTGTGGCTCTATGAAAGTTTTACAGCTCTCTCAAAATACCATCCCTCATGAATTGAAGAGTAATTCTTTACATAATGCTACAACTCTCCCTCTGACTATGAAAGCACTATGCACAATTGTTGAAGGTAGTACATTCATTTGAGAGTACAGAGTTCAGTATTTTACAACATATTTGCCTATCAAACTTCGGGTATTATGAAGACATTCTAAAAAGACGTATTCCCTCACTAGTTGTGCCTATATATAAACACACAGATGGATTTTGGATTAAGATGTCTCCTTGCAAGATCCATGTTGAAGTGATGGAGTTTATGTTTTCACAATTTTAAAAGGAGGCTAATCTCCTCCCACCCCCAAAACTGAGTTGGAGTGGAGAATCAAGTCTGTAACATTTACATGAATCCATACCTGTAACAGTCATCTCTATGTTTAAATGTGCTCTCTTTTCAAAAAGACAGAAACAATACCCCATCGTTTCTATTTAAAATCTATCCTGCGGAGCTATTAAAATCAGCTTGATTTTTTAATGACACAAGAGAAGACAAGAGGAAATGTCTCTATAACTCTAAACATAAATAATTCCCTTCAAAATGGACCAAAAGTAATGGGTTAACAGTCACTGTAATGCCCTTTGAATTATTTCTTGCAGCTACTGAGTATGCATCCTTCAGATTTATTTTATTTCATCCTCAAGGACCTTGGTGAAATACAGTACATCAGGGGAAAAATAAGATCAAGATGTGCAGTCATTCAGGCTGTAATTAAATTTAATAAGCAGTTTATCCAGTTCATAGAAAGATGGCATAGGATAGAGCTACACAAAGCAGAGCCTAAAGCAGGAAATCATTTTACAATAGGGTATTCATCTGGAAAAAAAGACGTTGCATGAAACCAGCAAGTGTGAACAAAATCTTCATCAGTCTCATATAAGGTTATTTTATCATGCTACACTTCTGGCAAAGGGAAGTTTGACGTGTTGTCTATTAAAAGTAATGCATAGCAGTCTTAACAAAATGTAAATCTAACTCCCTATTATGCAAACTGAAGAGAAGAGGTAGTTAATAAAACACAATAATTTGGTGTTTAATTATACTAGTTGCCAGATTCATAGGCATTGGATCTAAAATTGCTAATGCATTATTTTCCAAATGTTGCAAATGGAAACCTTTTAACATTTTATTTGGTAATGAACACAGTGATAAGTCTCATTGAAAACAGCTATGTTTTTTGCAGCAGTCCTACATAAAATTGATTCTACATCATCAATGTAGAGGCTGAACAATAAAACATGGGGTTAATAAAATGCCTGTTGGAAACAGAAACCGATTAGCAATGCAGTGAAAAAACTTCAAACATGGGGAGTTTTGGAGAAGCATGTTTTTTGGGTGCCTTTTCCAAGAGCAGTTCATGCATAGGTTTAAGGACTGTGCTTCCCGTAATCCCATACTAGTGCACATATGGCGGAACAATACTTAATGCTCACTAGTGACATCTTTATCGGTGGCAAAGTCCAACCATGCTATGAAATCCAATTAAATAGTCATTTTTGTCCCATAAATTGATCCCATTTTTTCAATTATTTTTATTCTCCATTGCAATCCGCTCTATCGCCACATAACAATACAGAACAATATATTCAGGAAAATACGCACCCTGTGCTGGAATCCCTACTGTCTTTAAAAGCCACTTTACAAATGGAACAAGGCTCATAGGTACCACTGTGGTTTAATCAAGGATACTGGCTATCTTTCCTTAGCAAAAGCAGCAATGCTCTAATTCTAATGCAACTGTGGTGACCAAGGAATTCAGCAAGTACCTTTGCTGAATGCCAGGGTCATGATATACACCTCTACCCCAATATAACGCGACCCGATATAACACGAATTCGGATATAATGCGATAAAGCAGTGCTCCGGGGCTGCACACTCCGGCGGATCAAAGCAAGTTCGATATAACACGGTTTCACCTATAACACGGTAAGATTTCTTGGCTCCTGAGGACAGCATTATATCGGGGTAGAGGTGTATTAATATATTATCTCTGTAACAGTACAGAACAGTAGTCATGTAACTTTAAAGTAGAACAGCTACAAAGAACAAAATACCTGAAGGATGCCTATTTTTACGCTTTTGGCTAGTAAAGCGTTGTTTGGGACAACCTGAAGCAGGGTCTACAGAGTATTTTCAGTTAAATTTCTCCCTTTATCTTGAGGTTAGATGTAACACAGCTGTAGACTTACAAATAATATCAGTCTCAAGGGATAAGAAGCATAGTTACACTCAATTATATTATAAAGTATGACATCTCTAGAGAAATTACAGTACTAAGGCACTTTCTCTTAGCTGGATGACAGTAATAAAACAGATCTATTTATGATGGACTTTTGAAATCCATTATCTTTAAACAGCTTGCTGGTTCTCATCATTAAAAGAGCTACACTTGCCCAGCAAATGTACCTGTTAATTCAAATGACCTGGGGAATTTAATATGAAAGAATTATTCTTCAATTATTGTAAGTAGACTCCTTTTTCTTCTCGTTGTAATTGTTAGCAATGGGGACACCTTATAGAAGGGATGGATATAAAATTTTCTAAAACTTATTTTTCACAAAACACAATTTTTAAAAGGGGAAAATATATTTCCTCCAGGACAGAACACCTAGTATAAAAAGTCTTGGGTTCCTAAATAAACTGCTCCTTGCAGAGCTCAAGAATAAATAAGAATATTAGAATCATAGAATATCAGGGTTGGAAGGGACCTCAGGAGGTCATCTAGTCCAACCCCCTGCTCAAGTAGGACCAATCCCCAACTAAATCATCCCAGCCAGGAGTTTGTCAAGTCTGACCTTAAAAACCTTTAAGGAAGGAGATTCCACCACCTCCCTAGGTAACCCATTCCAGTGCTTCACCACCCTCCTAGTGAAAAAGTTTTTCCTAATATCCAACCTAAACTTCCCCCACTGCAACTTGAGACCATTACTCCTTGTTCTGTCATCTGGTACCACTGAGAACAGTCTAGATCCATCCTCTTTGGAACCCCCTTTCGGGTAGTTGAAAGCAGCTATCAAATCCCCCCTCATTCTTCTCTTCTGCAGACTAAACAATCCCAGTTCCCTCAGCCTCTCCTCATAAGTCATGTGCTCCAGACCCCTAATCATTTTTGTTGCCCTCCGCTGGACTCTTCCCAATTTTTCCACACCCTTCTTGTAGTGTGGGGCCCAAAACTGGACACAGTACTCCAGATGCGGCCTCACCAATGTCAAATAGAGGGGAATGATCACGTCCCTCGATCTGCTGGTATATATTCTGATACTTGCACTCCAAATGCTTAGATAGATTTCCTAGGGTTGCATCCCTCTGCAGTACTTTTTTGGTCTTAGCCATTATGCTCTTCTGTCTTCTGCTGTTACAGATTCTAGAGCCTTTTGCTCTTGTTAAAAACAAAAAATACCAAAATCGGTGTCAAACGCAGTGCTACTAAAAATGTAAAAGAATCCTACCAATGGAACAGAGTTTCCTCTTTCAAAAGTTCCAGGCCAGTAAGCTCCCGAGGTCTGAGCAGTTGTACACTTTATTTCAATATATTTATTAAACATCTCTAGGGTTGTTGTTGTTTTCTTAAATTGTGAAGCAGTTTACAGAACCAATCCGCACACTGCACGTGGTAGCAAAACGGTCTTTCACAAGATGTCTAGATTCACTGTTCTACTAAATGATAAATAAGGCCCCCAATAAAAGCATGACTAGGTAATCGTCTGTCTGCAATATATTGTTACCATCAATAATGTGGAATAAAAAACGTTATGCACTTCTAGCTTTCTTTGGCCTCATAATTTTTTAAATTATGGTTTATTTCTAATTTCTTAGAACTTCTCTGATGTCCATATTTCAATTTCATGTGCCTCATAAAGGACAGCTTATTGTATTACCAAACCCTGCAAATTGATTAATCAACATGGCATGAGCATCTGACAAATTCTAACGAATACACGACTCTTCAATTTCTCCCTTTCATCCCAGTAAGGTAAGAACTTTTTAAATCTTTGGCATTAGAAAAGTACTAAGCTAAAGAAGTGAGATTGCATTTTGTTCGGAACAGTGAGGTTTGTGATCATTCTGATCCCCAAGTTCTATAATCAGGGGCAAGCAGCTGTGAAAGCCCAAACCCAGTGCTTATGGGTCTAACTGTTAAGATATAGGCAGGGGCATGACATAGTAATGATGGGTTCATAAAACAGATTGCCATCTAAAACGCTAAGCTGATAACCAGAGCGTAGTCAGATCAGTGATTTAAACAGTCTACAATTCAGATATGGGGTGAAGCTGTCTGTGAACCTGAAGACAGTAGTGGTATTAAAGTGGTATTCAATCAGTTTTTATGTATCTATGGCTTAGGCTACGTCTTCACTACAGGGGGACTATGGGGGGGGTCGATTTAAGATATGCAAATTCAGCTACGCGAATAGCGTAGCTGAATTCGACATATCACAGCCGACTTACCCCGCTGTGAGGACGGCAGCAAAATCGACCTCCGCGGCTTCCCGTCGACGGCTCTTACTCCCACCTTCGCTGGTGGAGTAAGAGCGTCGATTCGGGGATCGATTGTCGCGTCCTGACGGGACGCAATAAATCGATCCCCGAGAGGTCGATTTCTACCCGCCAATTCAGGCGGGTAGTGTAGACCTAGCCTTAGAGACTGAACTTTTTCTGAAGTTGCAGGGCCATAAGATCCTGGTTAAGCCAAAATAGCTCTCTTGAGGTGGCGGGGGGGGGAGAGGAGAGAGTGTTAATGAACAAGACTCTTATTCAACCCAAGCACCATAAACTAGCAGAGTTGCTAGCCACATTCTCTTCATTCAGCCCAGCATTAGACTTGTTGGGGCCCAGGGCAGAAAGCCGAAGCCCAAGTCCTGTCTCATGGGGCTGAAGCCGACGCCAGGTGGCAGGGCTCGGGTTCGGGCTTGGGCTTTCTGCTCTGGGCCCCAGGGAGTCTAACGCCGGCCCTGCCGAAGCCCGAGCAACTTCGCTTTTTTTGCGGGGCTCCCTGTGGCGTGGGGTGTTCTGTAATTTTTGTTGTCAAAAGGGGTCACAGTGCAATGACGTTTGAGAATCGCTGAGCTAAACAGTCAGTGAATTCCATAAGCATTACAAAACCAGGCAAACAGGGGTTGCTCCTATGCCTCCAGAGTTCTCTGTTCTGACTCCACATCAGCAACCACTTGTCTCAGCCTCCCATGAGGAACGATCAGATCAAGTCTTTAAGTCAAACTAGGTCCAGCTTCACTGGGTTACTCAGCTCAGGAAGGCACTCCCTAGGGTGACCAGGCAGCAAATGTGAAAAATCAGGACAGGGGTGGGGGGTAATAGGAACATATATAAGAAAAAGACCCAAAAATCGGGACATCTGGTCACCCTAGCACTCCCAGCTAGGACTCTGAAATCCCTGCTGGCATTCAACCCCGCTGTCTGACTCAGTGGCGCCTTATGCTAGGGGACACCATTGGGGTGGGATGCGGTAGCAGCCGCATTACAGGCAGCACTGAATGAACAATGTTCTCAGATACGGCACCTATATTTATATTGTTCCAAGAACAAAAAAATAATATAATTATACCTTAGCATCCAACTTACAATGCAAAAATATAGCGGCCCCTGTTTATGTTTTGATAACACATTAGCCACACAAAATACCAGTACAATAGAGCTACTGTATGAGCCTAACATAAAGCTAACACAATAACATATTCATATCAGATGGATGCAGTTTGTTTGCCACACAGTCTCTGAGCATAAAACTCTGGAATGCATTCCTGTCTGAGGACATACATTCCAGCTGTGGACATATGATCAGCTCTGACATGGACAAAAAGTGGTTTCCCCTAAGCCCAGAAATGTTTTCCACACTTATCTTTCAGAAATGGCCTTATTTTTACTGAACTGCGAGTCTATTTATATGCCATTTCGTTTAAGATGAGTTAAGTCTCAACGGTTTTTTTTTGGTAGGAACCTAACACAGGAGATTCGCTGAAAAGCCTCCCCACAAATCCCACAATCTTGATGCCTGAAGTTAAGAACTTCCAATTATGTCACCAGCTGGCTGTTATCAAGTTTACAGCCCAGCACAGTGCAAGGGTCCCAGGAGAGTTGAACGTGCTTGGCCACTTCAGTAATTCCTGTTATTTAACGGCATGCCTGCATTGATTGTTTTGACTAAGTCTATCACGAGCAGGAGTAAGGAGATACTGCCAGAGAAGCACGTAGCAGTATAAGCTTTTTCCAGGGCAAACAATTTTATGCTGTTCTCAAAATCAAATGTGTAAAAGGTTTGTGAAAATATTACATTTTTCTTATTTTTCAACCCTGTGCATTTGAGGTCACAATGTTTACACTTGCTTTCTTGCAATTTAATTTTGAGATCTGATAAACAGGGATCTAAGAGCTTTAACCTGACTTCCCCCACATCTAGAAAAAAAAAAAATAAATTAAAAAAAAAGGCTACTGCACATAGTAAGTCAGTCAACACCAATTTTCTTCGATTAAGGTTTGAATAATTGAAAAATTTCCAGTCTGACAAAGCACTACAGGACAGAGCTTCTCATGCACAGACCCAGGGTGAATCCCTCCATCTTGGCTGCACAGCACTTCAGCACAAGTATCACAACATCTATCCAGCCCCTTTGTCCATTTAAGCTGTCTCTGATCTCATGGTCAAACAAGCGAGAACGCACGCTCAGTCTTACGCAGTGCCTGCTGCAGGGTATTTTGCACCTTCCTCAAACATCTGGTACTTGCCACTGTTAGTGACAAACCACTGGATTAGATAGAGCACAGTTCAGTTCCAGTACAGAAATTCCTATGTTCCTATGACTTTCACGGTGACCTTATGCATATCGAGCATATCTTTAACTACTGCATTTGAGAAGTTTGATATGTGTTTCTTCACTGCCATCTGTATGTGCTGCAGTCTCTTATCCATTTACTAACACACACTACATATAGATGTACACAGGAAAATTCTGAGGGATGAAATCTACCTCTTAACCTTTCTACATAGAATTGCATATGCTGTATAAACTATTTGGGGATGTGGGGGCGGTAGCCTAAATTACAAACGGCATTTTGGAATTTGGTTTATTTATGAATTAAAATGGAGAACATAACATCTGCATTCCTCCTGGTCCCAATAGCTAATCTTCACCAGTTTTGGGATTGGGATTAAGCAAGATTTGTAGCTATAATCCAGTAATGTTTAAGAGCACCTCACCCATGAGGCTCTAGTCTTCTGGAGCTCAAACATGGTTTGTAGCCTTGTGAAGGAATTTACAATTAAGACACTTCTCGCAAAAACATATGCATGTGCTTAACTTTATGTATGCAAGTAGTCCCATGGACTATACATCCATCTATTTGCTAGGTCAATACTTTAATCTTTCCATCTTTTAAATTAAGATTGGATATGTTTTCTAAAAAAAGAGATCCCTTACCTCAGAGGTGGGCAAACTACGGCCCACGGGGCACATTTGGCCCACAGGACCTCCTGCCCGGCCCCTGAGCTCCTGGCCCGGGAGGCTAACCCCCAGCCCCTCCCCTGTTGTTCCCCCTCCCCCGCAGCCTCAGGGGGCGAGAAGCGGGGGGGGGTCAGATAAGGGGTGGGGGCCGGGCCACGCCTGGCTCTTTGGGGAGGTACAGCCTCCCCTAACCGGCCCTCCATACAATTTTGGAAACCCGACGTGGCCCTCAGGCCAAAAAGTTTGGCTGCTCCTCCCTTACCTTGTACAGTAACTGGAGTTCTTTGAGATGCATATCCCACATCAGGATGGGCACTTGCCTGTGCACTCTTGATCGTAGATTTTATTTGCAGTGTCCATGTGCCCTAGATAACCTCGTGCTCTGTTGTGAGGGTATATTATGAGGGCAGACCCACTGGTGCTTCATTTCCTTCTCAACCACGAAAGTCCAGCAAGAAGACTCTGAGGCACAGGGGAAGGAGAGCGGGTAGTAGAGAATCCCTAGGAACACACGTCTCAAAGAACTCCAGTTACTGTACAAAGTAAGTAACTTCTCCTTCTTCTTTAAGTAGTGTCCATATGGGTGCTCCATTTCAGGGGATTCCCAAGCAGTACCTCAACTATGGATTCAGTACAGACCGTAGAACAGCATCACCGAAAGCCATGTCAGCTCTGGAAGCAGGCACGAGATTCAAGAAATTGATCTACTTTAGTATAATTTTTAGAAAATGTCTAACATAACCATTCCCACACTACTGTCACCTGTGTACCTTTCCGAGTGTGTTCTTTACAAAGAGCACTTACCGTAGTGTATTTCCCCAGCTGGCAGAGAGAGGGGAAGGTTTCCTGGTGAGCTTTTCGAATTTTCTCAGTGAGATCATCCAACTCTGCTGTCATTTCATAGTTTTCAGTAAACTCTTGCTTTGAAGGCTCTTTCTTCTTTTTGTTCCTGTCATTTCTGACAGCTAGAGACAAGAAAGGAGGCAGGTCAGGTGTGCCTAATGAGACTACTGCATATTGCTTTCACAGCTCTTCTTCAAAGTATTGCCACAGATTTTTTTTTTTTTACTTTAAACATTGAAGTTAATTTGGATGAGAAATGTTGCATAAGCGTAGAAGAAAAGTATTTTTGTTAAAATGCTATCACGAAAAAGTACATTAAGATGGGCCAATGCACCAATTTCTTATGTCCACATACAAAAAGTAAAAGCCAACTTTCCATAGCAAGCTTGAGACCTTCTGGAGATATGTCATTTATAAATAAAGTACTTTAAATTTTGATGGTGTCTACCCCCTGAGGAGCTCCACCACAACTTTACCCACGTTGATGAAATGTCTCACAATAGCTTTGTGAGGCAAGAGTTAATAACCCCGTATTATTATTACAGATTAGGAAATTAATGCACCGAGAGTTGATGTAATTTGCTCAAAGTAACAAAGTCAGTGGCAGAGCTGGAAACAGAACCCACGTCTCCCGGTTCCATGTCTTGTATTTTAGCCCTAAAACCATCTCTTCCTCATAGGAAACTTTCTCTCAAAATAGTACTATTCAAAAGATATCTCTTTTATGAATCCATTGTTTTACAAACAGTATAAACGTAACTCTGTAAAAGCATGTAGACAATGGGCAAATTCTGGTATGGCAGGCATTTTGAAATCAATAGTAAAAATTCCAATTAAAAAAAATCCTTATAGATTCCAAGGCCAGAAGGGACTATTGTGATGATCTAGTCTGACCTCCTACGTAATACAGGCCAAAATAATTCCTAGTGCAAATCTTTTAGAAACATCCAATCTTGATTTAAAAATTGTCAGTGAGGGAGAATCCATCATGAGTCACGACCCTTGATAAATTGTTCCAATGGTTAATTACTCTCATTGTTAAAAATTTACACCTTATTACCAGTCTGAATTTGTCTGGCTTCTACTTCCCGCCATTGGATCATATACCTTTCTCTGGTAGACTGACGAGCCCATTATTAAATATTTGTTCTCAGTGTAGGTTTTTATAAACTACAATCAAGTCACCCCATAATCTTCTCTTTGTTAAGCTAAATAGATGGAGCTCCTTGAGTCTATCATGATAAGGCATGTTTTCTAAGTCTTTAATCATTCTTGTGGCTCTTCTATGAACCCCCTTCACTTTATCAATGTCCCTCTTGAATTGTGGGCACCAGAACTGGACACAATATTCCAGCAGTGGTCGCACCAGCGCCAAAAGAGAGACAAAATAATCTCTTTACTCTTACTCGAGATTTCCTGTTTATGCATCCCAGAATTTGGCCACAGCATCCCAATGGGAGCTGACATTCAAATGATTATCCACCACAACCCCCAAATCTTTTGCAGAGTCACTGCTTCTCAGGATAGAGTCTTCCATCCTGTAAGCATGGCCTACATTCTTTGTTCGTATTATGTATACGTTTACATGTTGCCGTATTAAAATACATATTGTTTGATTGCGCCCAATTTACCAAGCGATACAGATCTTTCTGAATCAGTGACCTGTCCTCTTTATTATTTACCACCTTCAATTTTTGTCATCTGCAAACTTTATCAGTGATGATTTTATGTTTTTTTTCCCCAGGTCATTGATTAAAAAGTTAAATAGCATAGGGCCAAGAACCAGTACCTGCATGACCCCACTGAAAACACACCCACTCAATGACAATTCCACTTTTAAAGTTAAATTTTGAGACCTATCAGTTAGCCAGTTTTTAATCCATTTAATGTGCACCATGCTAACTTTATATCGTTCTAGTTATTTAATCAAAATGTCATGTGGTACCAAGTCAAACACCTTACAGAAGTCTATTATGTCAACACTGTCACACCTTTATCAACCAAACTTGCAATCTCCTCAAAAACAGATATCAAGTTAATTTGACAGGCTCTATTTTCCATTAACCCATGCTGATTTGCATTAATTACATTACCCTCTTGGTTAATCAAGTCCCATGTCAGCTGCTCCATTATTTTGCTCAAGATCAATGCCAGGCTGACAGGTCTATAATTACCCTGACCATCCCATTTACCCTTTTAAAAAATGTGCACAACATTAGCTTTCCACTAGTCTTCTAGAACTTCCCCAGTGCTCCACAACTTATTGAAAATCAACATTAATGGTCCACCGAGCTCCTCAGCCAGATGGAGGATTCTAATGAGAAATAAAAATAAAGCTCTCCCAAACAGGCACACATACATACTAACAGCAATACCAATACACGGCCTTATTCAGTTTCACCTATTTTGCATAATATATTCTTGTTGGGAGTAGCAATTAAATGATATGTGTGCGTGCATGAATGCACAGAGCCCCTGTATCAGGCTAGGGAGCGTACATAGAAAACATGTGAGCCATAATGTACCTCAGTGGCTCTTATCATTGAGGTTCTGAAGAGTGGCATTTCCCAAAACATAGAGAAGAGGCCAAGAGAGGATATGCAACTTCTGCCCCATGCTCTCCCTGGTTGCTGTGGGTTTTGTATTTGTTTAGTTCAATAGTTGATATATTTCTGTATTATTCCAAATTCTTGCACGTTAAAATGATCACAATTCTAAAGGCAACACATGTTTATTCATGTGTAGAAATGACAGAGTAGGTCGTGTAGGAGAGTGGCACTATATATGAAAGAAAGCATAGAGTCAAATATAATAAAGATCTTAAATGAATCAAACTGTACCATAGAATCTCTACAGATAGTAATTCCATGCTTTGAATAAGAAGAATATAGCAGTAGGGATATACTACCGACCATCTGACCAGGATGGTGACTGTGAAATGCTCCAGGAGATTAGAGAGGCTATAAAAATAGAAAACTCAATAATAAGGGGGATTTCAACTATCCCCATATTGACTGGGTACACGTCACTTCAGAATAGGATGAAGAAATGAAGTTTATTGACATCATAAAAGACTGCTTCTTGGAGCAGCTACTCCTGGAACCCACAAGAGGAGAGGCGATTCTTGATTTAGTCCAAGGTGGCGCACAGGATCTGGTACAAGAGTGACTACAGCTGAACCGCTTGGTAATAGTGACCATAATATAATTTAACATTCTTGTAGGGGGGAAAACACCAAAGAAGCTCACCACAGTAGCATTTAACTTCAGAAAGGGGAACTACACAAAAATGAAGAAACTAGTTAAACAGAAATTAAAAGGTAAAATCACAGAAGTGAAATGCCTGCAAGCTACCTGGAAACTTTTTAAAAACACCATAATAGAGGCTCAAATTAAATGTATACCCCTAACTCAAAAACACAGTAAGACGACCAAAAAAGTGCCACCACAGTTAAAAGCTCTTGTCCTGTCCAAATAAAAGGCCAAGGCTCTCCTTACATCAAGCATATGGAGGATGGCTTCCCTATTATCCTGGTGAGGCCTAGGATAAAAGATTGGAAGGTGAATGAGTTGGTTCACGTGAAATATGGAACTCACATTGGGGGTGAACTTTGGATGTGATCTAAGAGTGACTGTGTCAGGGAAGATCACTGTGAACAGGGGATGTGCCATCAGGGTCACTATCTCCCCTACCTTTCTTGCTGAGGTAATGGTAATCAGGAATGCCGTCTTCATGGAAAGGTGAGTTAAAGAACAAGTGGCTATGGGTTCAAAGGGTGGTCTAGTCAGTTCTTTTAATACTAGATTGAGGTCCCATTGTGGGATAGGAAGCTTAGATTGGGGGAAGAGGTCCACTATGCCTCTGAGAAACCTCTTGGTAATTGGGTGGGAAAAAATTGATGCCTCCTTGGCTAGATAATTTATGCTACAGGTACAGAAAGCATGGTATCTACGTGCCTGCCAAGGGTCCCAGTAAGGCCATTGAGAGGGTATGAAGGGACCTAATGGTACCATGGTCGCCCATAACAGGGAAGCTGGGGATCAGAGGGACGATATGGCTGAGGCCCATACTGGAATTGGACACCATAGGGTGGGTGAGAAGAGCGGCAGGAGACCATTTCCTCTTACACACTATCTGACTCATTGGACAAAAATGGGGGTGCATGGCATGATGTTGCCAGCAAGTCTGGAGCTCCAGGCTCGCCCCAGTACTGAGTAGAGGCAAATCTGGTATATCAGACACCAAAAGGTCTGTTGCGTACCGAAAGTCCGGCAGTGCAAAAGGTGTCAGTACCGGTGGTGGTTGTCCACGTTGAGATGTCTGCACCGAAGGAGTGGGGTGATGTGGACCTGATAGTGTAGTCCATCGGTGCCTAGTATGCCGAAGACAGTACCAACATTTATGTCCGTACCAAAGGAGCCTTCCCCAGGGTAGATTTCTCGTGCCCAGTTGGTACCAATGATTCCTTGCCTGTGCCCATTGGGTCCTTAGACAGCCCAACATGCTCCATCAGGACAGTACCGCGCGAGACCTTGGTACCAGACTTAGGCCTGGTCTACACTAACCCCCCAAGTCGAAGTAAGGTACACAACTTCAGCTACGTGAATAACGTAGCTGAAGTCGACATACCTTACTTCGAACTTACCGCGGTTCAGACGCGGTCCACACGGGGCAGGCAGGCTCCCCTGTCGACTCCGCGGTACTCCTCTCGTTGAGATGGAGTACCGCAGTCGACGGCGAGCACTTCCTGGTTCGATCCCCAGCCGCCGAACTAGCGGCTAAGTATAGACCAGCCCTTAGACGGCTTCAGTGCCATTGGTACCAAGATACCGAGTGAACTGGAGATTGCTTTCGGCTTGGTCGGGGCTCACTTTGGCAACTCATGGCCCTTTTCTTAGAGGCCTTGCATGAGTGGCTCATGGGTGTACTTTTTGGGCTCACCTCCCTTAGAAGTAGAAGGTTGCGGTGAGGTTTCCCGCCGTGTGGGGTCTTGGCGCAGCTGAGGGTGGTTGAAAGGCTGCCTCCATTAGGAGAAGCTTGAGTCTCAGTTCTCTATCCTTTCTGGATCTGGGCTTCACAGTTGTTGGCACAAACCATACTTTTGTGGCATGTGGTTCTCTCC